GCGGGCGTTAGGTGCAAGTCGAATCCAAGGCCAAAGCCCGTTGACCATTAATTTTTCAGTTAAATGGCGGTCAGCTTCTGCTGCTTCTACTGCGTGTGGAGCTTGTTAAACTAACAAGCCAAATGCTGTTCCAGGAAAGACAATCAATAGATTCGAAATGTTCGATAAGGCGAAAAACGAGTAAATTAATGAGTTTTAATTATACGACTGAACGTTGTATTCATTTTGCTACCCGATACAGATCAGTCCACATATCATGTAACCCGGGCGAGGGAAATGCAGCTAACAAAATCTGTGTATGATCTCGTCTTTTGTTCGACTCGCGCATAATTTCATAATTCAAGTTGCCGTTGAAAAGTCACCTGCTCTCCACAAAAATATGTAAACATCAATATGTTTCAACTGTGCCACAATTCTAAAGTTGCAGTTGCCTCTCGAGGATCATTGATCATTGAGCGTGCCTCCTGCTGCACGATGTCTGCCGCTTGCCGCTACCTGCGGCTGCCGCATTTAGTGATTTCTTGGCCAACAGCTGCTACCTTTCTTTTTATTCGGGGGTTTTTTTTTTTTTGCCCTGCCAGCAAGAAAATTGATGACGACAGGTTGAAATGATCGCAGGCTGACCGGAGTCTACAAAAAACCCAAACTAATACCCAAAACCCGAAGCCTTCTGTCTGGCGTTCTGACGTTAATCGACTAAATTGTAGCAGCTGAACTGTCAGTTTTGTTAAGTGGGCTGTGTCTCAAGTCTGCGTCTCGGACTTTGATGCATTGTTGGCCAAATTGTGATGACCAGCCTGCGATAATGCCCCGAAACGCCTCGAATCTTGGCACAGCAACTAGTTTCGAGTCAGTTTTCATAGTCGCTGGGCTCATTAAAGCCTTGATTAATGTTGGTAATGCCCGTTTAGGGTTTATTGTCGCGCCTTTTGCCCAAAAATATTTCATTGCTCACAATTTGCAGCGCAAGTATATCTATCTATCTTGGCATCTTCCTCTGACCTCCCCTACCAGCTCCCGTCATCAGCTGCACTTGTTTTTGCTTGCTTGGGTAATTAGTCTCGTTTGTTGTCATAAATTTTCTGTAAATTTTGTTGAAAAGTCGCATTTAATTGCACTGATTTACAGTTTTGGAGTTGGGCAGCTTCTGCTCTTTCGCTCCGGCTTCGTTTAGGTGTGCTCCGTGTGTCTCCCATAATTACGTGCCAAATTAATGATGTTTTTGCGGCTAAGTATGTGTAATACACGAATGCAGCTGAAACCACATATTTCAGCTTTAAATTGGGCCAGCTCTTTGGTTTTTGCGCCTTTTCAGCCAGGCCCTTAGCAATTTTAACAAATTCTGCAGGTGCAATTTGGCGAAGAAACAGACTGATAATCATCTCTGTCTTAGATGAGACAGGGAACTGAGAAGATGACTGCAAGGCAGACCGGATATTAATTGGATGGCACGCAGAGAACAAGCTCTGCAGCGAGGTTGATTTATGCGTCTTTAATTTTTTTAAATAAAATTCAAAAGCTCCTTTTAAATAAATAAATCCCTTGATATTCATGCCTGTTTTTGACTTAAAAAAAAATAACTATTTAAGAGTTTCTTTATTATTATTCAATTCCACATCTGAAAAGTTTACTTAATCTTGCCTGATTTCTATCGCTAAACGTTCCTAAATAATGAGCTATACAAATATAACTTGAGCTACACTTGAATTCTTCAGCCAACAGCTCATCGCCTCGTCAATGAACCTTTCCCCGAAAATAATTGAAACTCATCAAGCTTTATTGGGTTGTAAGAAGGTGGCGGCTGAGCCATCATTAATGCCCTTATCACGTATTTCAATGCGACAAAAGCCGCACCACAGCCCAGCCCAGCCCAGCCCCCAGCCCCCAGCCTAAGCCCACACCTTAGCCCATGTATGGCTCGGAGGATTTGTCTTAAAATTGCCACCCTTAATTACTTGTAAGCCGGCAACCCCCCGTGATCAACTGGGTTCAGGCCGTTTGACTTTGCAATTTCGCAGTGCATTGGGTGACGTTTCCCCAGATTCCATCGATACCATGCCTAGCCAAGTGCCAAGGCGCCCCAGCGGGCCGGACCGTTGATTAAATTGATGATGTTTGATGACTTCTGCAGCTGATTTCGCCTTAGATTTCTTTTGGCGAGTGGTCAAGTGGCAGGAGTGGACCACATATGGCGCACATGTGCTGCCACCCCCCGCTCATTACGATGCATTGGACATGCATCAAGACGCCTTCAAGTCATGCCCCACACCCGAGTCACCCGTCTGCTATTCCCCCTGCGCAAAGTGGGTCTCGTTTCGGAAGAAGGAAGCCGCCCGTATTGGCATTAGTTGGCATGACTATGCCGCTGTACTAGGCCAGTTCTCAAGGCGGCATTCTTTTGAGAACGAACCCAGGGCTGACCTTAATTAATCTTAGCTGTGCTGCTTGCTGCTTGCGGCCTGTTGCTTGCACCTACAAGTTGTCCGCCAGCAGTGCTTGCAGTACTTGCACTGTGGCCAATGTTGATTAATGTGAGGTGGAGGAGACGCCTCAACTTGCCGCGTGACTGGGCGTTTTTTAAAGACCGGGAAATGAGTTGCATGAGTCGCATCGGTGCAGGGCGTGCTATCAACTAATTGCGCGGCATTGTTCAGATACTCATAGGAGATATAATATACATCCATTGGAATGCAGTCCCGGCTGCACTTCCTACCAGCCAATGTCAAGCTCGTCTATAAAGTTTTAAAGCGCATTTCAATGCAAATATATCACATTCTGATGCCAACAACTCTGCCATGGACTGCTCGTGCAGGACTTTGACTCCGACTCGACTGCCAGTGACAAACGCCTCCAGGGTGCAATATATACACGAGTTTAGCCACATGTAATGAAAGTGTGAATGAAATTTTCATCTTTTTGTGAAGTAGCTGCAGTAAGAGAAAAGTAGAAAGTTCAAATAGAAATTTAACCCCAAGCGCATATTTATGCCACGTTTCGCTCTCCTTTCCCGGAGTAAAGCTTACGTAAAACAAATACACATGTAACCATTCCGTGTGTGTGTAGGGGGGTGTGTGTGTGTGTGTGGGCGTACCCCTAACTGTCATGCTGAAAATGACCTAAGGTAGAAAGAGATTTGCTGTTGCTGTTGCAAAGGGGAGGACGAACGGCAACAGGAGTTGCTTTACAGAAGCTGTACGAGCTGCTTTTTTGTTGAAGGTTGTTGGCCTTGGGGCAGATTTGGAATGATATGTCAATGATAGATGCAACACAGTTTTCGGACTACGTTTGAGCAGGTGAGTGCAATTCGAACTGTTAATTTATCTATCAATCTGTTACAGTTGGACTTCAGATAGGGCCAACACGGAAAGAAAACTCTTTCTGTTCAGCAATCCCTTTGAGTAAGGAATCTCATTAATCTTGAAGTACTTGAAACAAGTAATTTTAAACGGATTTATCTCAGCAATAACGCTATATTAATCTTTTCGGTAGGGTCTTAAATATTTCTTTGTTTGCTCCCGGTTTTCCCAATTAGTAACCGTGCAATTCCCAACTTGTTCGGCCGACTGCAGCGTCTTACCCTAACTAAAGCTGCGCATTTCATGAGGTACTTGCCCTCAATGCTGCTGGGCAAAGCCGAGCTATTTCCACCCTTTAGTTGACAGATCGAGAAACCACTTCAACCGTAGCCGCTGTCAACTCAACCCGAACTCAAACTCATGAAACTATAACAATAAAGGCCGGAAATTAAAGTGTGAAAACCGGCAGGAAGTTGACTTGATTACAAGAGTGAGAGTGACGCAGACTATGTGTGTGCGTGTGCTCGTATCTAACTGTATAAGCATATATATATATATATAGTGAGTATATAGGTAGCACATTTGACAAATAGAAAAGTTTACAATGCATTTCATTTGCTCAACTGTCAACGGGCAGCCCGAAGCTGTGGCACTCGCAGGAGACAGTTGGCAGGAGACAAGCGACAGGAGACAGGAGACTGGAGACAGGACACAGCCACAGGCCACAAAAGGCGGCGCCTCTGATTGAATGTTAAACATTTAATTTAAACTTGTCCCACCACAACCCAACACACAGACACCCCACCACACACACACACACACATACGTGGCTTAGATTCGGCAACGCAGAGCATAATTTATGCACGCACATCAATTCAAATGCATCTAATTTGGTAAACAGGCAGCTACTCATCGTCACACCTGCCTGGCGGAGAGTGAAGAGCGAGTAGCGACGCCCGACTCGGATCCGGACTCGACTCCTTGCTGACATTGGCTTAAAATAGTTTTCATTTGTTTTCGTTGTACTTGGTTCGGTTGCTGCAACATGTGGCATTGGCATTGGCACTAAGTAGCCTGTCTGCAACAACATCTGCGACTGCGACTGCAACTGCAGGGAGTTCGTTGCGCTTCGTTTGCGTACATGCAGCTCATTTAGTTGACATTTATAAACGTCACAAGGCGCGCAATGTTTGACAATTAATTAGGCGCAGATATGCCAGACGATGCCTACTGTTTACAACCAGATTCTCTAGAAATCACTCATTACGTTCAGCTAAGTTTAGCTGCTCAATTTTGGATGGAATCCAAGCTAATTTATTGATGCCATAATTTCACTTTAGGGACATACATTGTCCGTAATTGACTAGATAGTTGACTTTCACATGTTTCAATCTGCCAAACTTCGCGTGGTCGCCTCGACGTATTTCAGATATGAAACTGTGCTTAGTTAGATTTAATCTTGGGTTTACTTTGGAATTGAGGTGCCCGTAATATAAATTCACAATACCGGTGAAAGCGTATTTAAAGTAATTTCAAGCTTATGTATTGAGACACCCTGCTCTAGTTTTTTTTTGGGCGGCGTGTTGAATTGTAAAGAATTGCACAAAGCGTAGAGCAATATCGCACGATTGCATCGTAAAAGCTCTGCTTAGCAGGTGTTCAGCAATCTGCATAATTATCAGCAGATCATTAAGTCGAGAGTACTAGCGCCGAACAGACATCTACAAAAAACCCCGCTGCTGCAATATTGAAAAAGTTCAGATCCTAAATCGGGAATAGATTATGTATATTTACCGAATATAGAGCTGAAATAAAGTGCGGAATAAAAGTTATCTTGATGCTAACCGGTGCAACCCGTCGTGTATAGCTGACAATTGGACATATCGGACGTAACATTAGGTAAAGTCACACCCGCACTGAGCGAGATAATTTAGTTCCATCCTAATCAGAGGACCTTCCCAGGTCCCAAAGGCTAACCGGGTAAAGGCTAAAAAGTATCAGCAGCCGCTTTTTAAATCGTTGCTTTAAGCTTAAAGAAAAAAAAAATTATAAGAAAGATATGCCGATTCTTAGGTATCATAGATGAAGAAATACCTTCATATCCTTCGGTTGTCCGAATTCTATGATGTCCTAGCCAACTGCAGATCTTTTCATCTAGATACAACACCTTATTTAGTAGTCGATCAATTTAAGGACCAAGTTCCAATTTCGTCTTGACTTCAGCTCAACCTAACTGTCGCAAGACCTAGCTGACGTCAGACTTTCTCAAATTTCAAATGCTAAGACCTAAACAGAGCTAATACCCAGACCTGCAGTAATTTTAATCTGCTAATTCAACAATCATTCAATTTCGAATTCCCACTTAAGATATGCCACTCAAATTCCTTTTTTGTGCTCCACGGCTTAGAGCAGAGAGCATCCAAAAAATGCTGCAAGAACTGACCGAATCACAGCAATTTTCAAAGTAAACATTTTTGCTGCCTTCCCCCCTCTATCCTCATCTCTCGTCATGCATTTGTGTATGTGTGTGTGTGTGTGGGACTATCAAGCAAAAAGCGCCAGGATTTTTATTTATAAAACACTTGAAAAGGAAGCAGAACAGGACGCACAGCTTGAAGTCCATTTTTTTTTTGGCAGCATATTGACGCAGGGATTTTGCCTCAACAAAAAAGGAAGAAAAAAACACACAGTGGCAAATGTGCAATGAGCACTGAGCAGAGATCAAACAGTAGTAGGACCAGGCAGGCGGTCCGCCTGGCGAATCCAGTTGCCAAGTCCTTTGAGGTTTTCTGGGCTTGGGTCGCTTGAGTGAAAGTTTGTTTTGCTTTTGCAAATGTCACATGAAAAATGCGTTCGCTGTGAAAATGCCGGCACTTTGCATGGGTTGCCTCACTATAAGGCATGGTTTGGGGGTCTGTCAACCCTCCCCTCCCCCTCTGCTCCACACACCACCCATTCGAAGCAGGGTGCTGGCCGCCTTGCACGAAATTTCCATTTAATGTGTTTGCGCAAAGTATTAAAAGGCAGCGACGATTGAGTATCGAAAAGTAGTAAAGCAAACCGAGTAGCACCCCGATAGCCAAGCAGAGGAGGGGACAACGTAGGTGGGGGGATGGTGTAGGATAGGGTGTCCATTCCAGGGGTCCATGGCGAGCACTGGCATTGCCTGCAGCCTGCAGTCGCCAGAGGGCGCTGACTGCTGAGTGATTGCCATGATAAGTGGCCCATTATGATGCCAGTTTGCACAGCGAGATTGCGCTGCGCTCCATTGGAGTTTGTCCGTTCGTCAGTGCCTCAGTTCTTCAGTGTCTCAGTTGTTCAGTTCGTCGGTTTGTCAGTTGCCTTCGTCTGCTTGGCCAATTCTTTTTTAATGCATATCAAAGTGGGCAAAGTTCTGGCCCCCAAAAAGTGCGTCATTGTTGTAGCGCTGGACTCGAGTCTCGCAGTATTTTCTTTTTTTTTCTGTTCCCATCAGCTTCTTTGCAGGAACGGCTGTTGACAAAAGACATTTAATTTTGCCTTAGTTTGCTTTTGCCTGCTTCGAGTATCTCTGCCATAAAGTTTGTCCTTCACTCCCTCATTTGCTTCTGCTCCTTCTGCTTTTTTCATGCCTGATTTTTGGTCTACGCTAGCGAAAACTTTGATAAGTGAAATTTATTGTGGGCGCTTTGAGTTGTCCAGTCTGCACGGAAAAGCTCAACTATTCCCTCCCTCCTGGATGTATTCTTGTTTAATGGCACCTATAGAGCGGTTTTCAACAGCAATCACGTTTTTTTTTGGTATATATCCGAAATTTGTCGTTTATTGCAACTACAATAAGCACTTTTCTGGCACGACAAGCAAATCGATAGCTGAGGAATATCTAATGAAATATTCGAAGTATATTAAACGTGAGCGAAATTTTACCATGTGGAATTTATATTGTCGTGCATCTCAATTTTAAAATTTAATTTGATTTAAATGAAGCTTGGCTTTTGAAGAACTTCGATTATATTCTCTTACTAGCTGCTCAACTTAGACTTGGATCTCTCCTAATTAATATGGATTGAACTGCTCAGCGACTAAATCGCAGCCCCGCCCCAAACACCTGACACATTGGAGCGCATTATGCATCGATCATTACTCATGCCATAAAAGGAATCCACTTAATCTCGCAACGAAACATTCAAACATTTATTATAGACATGACAGACCCTTGTTGGGGGTTGCAGCCCCCTCAGTTATTCAAGCAAAAACTGCAACAAAAGGTACAATTTATAGTTCGACACCCTTGGAGTATAAAGCCGGCCCGTCAAGGGGACGATTTGGGGAGGTCGCACGCACACGGCCTGCCCCGTAGCCCCGGCCCAATCCAAGGACATCGGGTGGGTGGCAAAATGTAATTGCTGCCGCCCCAAAATTTGGCATAGACCTTGAAAAAAAACACACGCACATATATATATATATATATATATATCAGCAGCGAATGGGGAATGAAGCGTGAGGTGAGTGATAGAACTTAAAGCTCGAACGCCCGTGCGTATGCAATGAATATTTACGAGCGGGCGCCGTTGGGTCCTCTGAGGATTATTGGGCTTTATGCAATTGCGCGCAAGTAAAAATCTAATTTATCCGCCTGCCACCCTTCGTTTTGTTTGACAATTGCCTGAAATTATGCAGTGCATTGGCATGAGACTGGCTCTGCCGGCACGTACCCGGCTATACCCGGCCGCTTTAAGGGAATTTCCCATATTTTCCTAGCAGGCCCAAAAAATTGCTGTGCTATTGGCTGCAGCTACCCTTTGTCGGTTATGGTCCGAGCTTAAAGATTTGGGGTGGCTTCAATACGCCCGGTGGTGGGTGGTTGGGTGGTTGGTGGATAGATCTCTGGCCTCATCATAACACCACATGTTCTAAAATTGCTGCTGGCGTCGCCACGTCGCCATCTCGTACTTCATGTAGATTTCTATCTATTCTATTGTCTGACTTTTACTCGTGGTAGATTTTAACATTCAGTTCGTTTGATGAGGCGCAAAGTTGTGGAATTTATTGCCTCAGCCTCGACAAAAAGTTAAGTGGATTTTACGTAAATTAATGAGTCCACTCCTTTCCCAGTCCCCAGCCGTCAGCCCCCAGCCTTCGGCCTGAGGGGTTGCAACTGATTCGTTAAGTGTTCTTACAAATGCAAATTCTATTGCAGCTGTTGGTCTGCCAAGTCTGGCAAGTTTTGGCATGCGGCCGGGGGCAAACAAAAGGTATAGATATTTTTTATTAAGTAAGATTGGGTGTAGAGTGAGTGTAAAGCTATTTTGGGGATAAACTGAGAGCGCAAACTTTAAAAGCAGTATGTTAAGATCTGTAATCTCACAATAACAATAATATAAGATAAGCTGAGCGCTTATCAGAAAATAATCTATTTGATTAGTGTATAGTGCACTAAAGTTCGGTAAAAGCTTATCGCCGCTTTCGTCAAACAAATAATTAATGTAATCTTATGTAAATATAGTATGCAGCTATTAAAACCAGTTGCGAATGCATGTACTCACAGCAGATAAATCCAGGATTGCACCAGCTGCAGTCATGTACAAGACCGAATCTCTTCAGACGCAGGCCACAATGCCCATGGTCCGGATACGCTGCATGGAGGGCGCGCTCGGTAAATGGCTGCCACTGCAGCAAAATTGGAGCAGTCGCTGTTGCACGCTGCCGGAACGCTTTATGAAGAGCGTCCAGCGTATCCATGCCTTTGAGACTCGCGACAGCGATGTGTTTGTGGTGACCTTTATGAAGTGCGGCACCACTTGGATGCAGGAGCTGGCGTGGTTGCTCCTTAATCAGCTGGACTTTGAGGCCGCCAAGAGCAGTTATGTAATGGAGCGCAGCCGATTTCTAGAGTGAGCCGCCCAATTTACAATTTATTATCCAATTACTTAGCATGTCTCGTGCCTCAACTTAAAGGTATTCAGCGATCACGCCCCAGTCTGTTGATACGATAACAGCATGCGAGGAGATGGTCAGTCCACGATTGATAAAATCCCATTTGCCGGCTCAATTGTTGCCCCAACAGGTCTGGCAGCAGGGCCGTAAAATTATATACGTGGCCCGCAATCCCAAAGATGTTGTCGTCTCCTCGTATCATTTTTTGAATGGCACCAAAATGTGGGAGGGCGATTTGAATACATTTGTGAACGAGTTTATAAAGGATGAGATTTTATATACCTCCTTCTGGTCACATATTGTGGATTTTTGGAGAATGCGCAACGAACCCAACATTTTCTTTGTAACCTATGAGGAAATGAAGCGGGATTTAAGATCTGTAATAAAGAGACTATGCAAGTTTTTATCTGTGGATGATGTAAAAGATAAAGAAATGGAACAATTGCTGCAGCATTTATCATTTGACAATATGAAAGGTAAGATATAGAGTGGTTTCCAAAAGGCATACTTATTCAATGGATACTTTACATGTCTCAGGCAGCAAATACAGCAATCTGACGGGTCTTTTAAGAACAACGCAAAATACTACCAAGGACTTTGAGTGAGTTCAAGATTTAATGTCTTATACAATAAGATTTATACACTATTTTGCGGCATTTTAGATTCATGCGTCGTGGAGTTGTGGGCTCCTACAACGATGAGCTGAGTGCCGTGCATAGGCAAAAGCTAGATAAATGGACCAGCGATTTTTTGAAGGCATACGATATTAGGGAGTCGGATATATTTGGTGAATTGTAAAAACATTTGAATATAATTTCTTTTCTTTATGATCCGCACCAAAGATAATTTCAATAAATTTACATAACAATTTGATTAAATATGCAAGCTTTTGTCGTCTTAATATTTTGCTCTATCCGCGTTACTCAATTTACCTTTAGCTCTCAAACTGTCGTAGAATATAAGATCGCGCTGGACGCGTATAAGAGATATGCTTGGCGCTACGATTCGTTTCAGTTGCTCAGTCTTCGCCAAAACGTGCATTGTTAATGCTGCTGTTTACGGGCCGCCTAAAGAATGCAAACTTAGGGGTCTCATATTATAGAATATAGTATAAATTAAAAGTTCTACAACAACGAAGCTCGTGTAGATGATCCGTATGTGCTATAAAGTTTGCGGCGCTGTTATCGAAGAGCAATCTATTCTATTAAAAAATAATTGATAGAATTTTCTTAACTAAATATAGTACTGAGCTATTAAAGCAACCAAACCAACCTGGGAGTGCACCGGCTACCGTTATGTACAAGACCGAATCTCTTCAGACGCAGGCCACAATGCCCATGGTCCGGATACGCTGCACGGAGGGCGCAGTCGGTAAATGGCTGCCACTGCAGCAAAATTGGAGCAGTCGCTGTTGCACGCTGCCGGAACGCTTTATGGAGAGCGCCCAGCGTATCCATGCCTTTGAGACCCGTGACAGCGATGTGTTTGTGGTGACCTTTATGAAGTGCGGCACCACTTGGATGCAGGAGCTGGCTTGGTTGCTCCTAAATCACCTGGACTTTACGGCGGCCAAGAGTAGCTATCTAACGGAACGCAGTAGTTTCTTAGAGTGAGTCGCGATTTACAATTTTGGTTGCACATTACTATTCCGGTTTCATTCAATTTATAGATTTTCAGCAACTATGCCGCTGTCTGTTGATACGATAACAGCATGCGAGGAGATGGCCAGTCCACGTTTGATAAAATCCCATTTGCCGGCTCAATTGTTGCCACAGCAGGTCTGGCAGCAGGGCCGTAAAATAATCTATGTGGCCCGCAATCCCAAGGATGTTGTGGTCTCCTCGTACCATTTTTTGAATGGGATCAAAATGTGGAAGGGCGATTTGGATACATTTGTGAACGAGTTTATGAAGGATGAGATTTTATACACCTCCTTCTGGTCACACATTGTAGATTTTTGGAGAATGCGCAACGAACCCAACATTTTCTTTGTCACCTATGAGGAAATGAAGCGGGATTTAAGATCTGTAATAAAGAGACTATGCAAGTTTTTATCTGTGGATGATGTTAAAGATAATCAAATGGAACAATTGCTGCAGCATTTATCATTTGACAATATGAAAGGTAAGATTTGAGAGTAGTTTCCAAAAGACATACGTATTCAATGGACAGTTTACATGTCTCAGGCAGCAAATACAGTAATGTGACGGACCTTATCAAAAAAAGGCTAAATACTACCGAGGACTTTGAGTAAGTTCAAAATTTGATTCTCGACAAATCAATATTAACAGAAGAATTTTAGATTCATGCGTCGTGGAGTTGTTGGTTCCTACAACGATGAGCTGAGTGCCTTACAAAGGCAAAAACTAGATAAATGGTCCAGCGATTTTTTGAAGGCATACGATATTAGGGAGTCGGATATATTTGGCGATCTATAAGTAGATTTTGAAAATGTTTGCTTTTCATTGTGATCCGCACCAAAGATAATTTCAATCAATTTAAATAAACATTTTTTGCAATAACCAAACTTCTGTTTGAATCTTCTTTCTTTAACAACGTATAAGATGACATTTGGCGTGTATAAGATATATGCTTGGCTCTTAGATTTGTTTAAGCTGCTCAGTCTTGGTCGAAACGTGCGCGGTTTAAGCCGCATAAACTCGTGTTGAGTGTTTTTCTTTATGATGTTGGGCCGTGAGCTTTTATTAAGGCAAAAAGAACACGAAAACAGTAGCTTCAACAACCAGAACAACATCAACAACAGCTGCAGCATCGGCAGCATTTGCCCCAAAGGTGGCAACAACGCCACATGAGATGGAGACGCTAGTGATGGCCGGTCTGGGCGCATTGGGTCGACCGGCGGAGAGCAACTGGACTGCTGAGCAGCTGCTGGCCATGGAGAGCAGCCAGCGCGAAACGGGTTATAATGCCTGGCTCTCAGAGCGCATATCGCCGGCGCGTAAGCTTTTCGATATGCGGCATCGCAGGTGAGTCGCGGCAGCCAAGTATAAGAGTTCCGCTCTCAAGTACCAACGAACTGCCGAGTGTGCTGATAAGAACGCTGAGCAGTCTGAGGAGCAGAACGCCGGCGCGCCTACTGCGTGAGATCTTTCATTTCAAGGCATACGATATTAGGGAGTCGGATAAAACTATTTGGCGATTTATAAATAGATTTAAAAATGTTTGCGTTTCTTTGTGATTCGCATGACGCAATTTACTACAGCTCTCAAAATGTTGTAGAATATGCGAACACATTTGACGCGTATAAGACATATGCTTGGCCCTAAGATTCGTTTTAGCTGCTCAGTTTTCGCCAAAACGTGCACTGTTAATACTGCAAAATCACGTGTTTTCGGGATGCCCAGAGAATGCAAATTTAGGGATTTAAAATTATAGAATGTAAAGATCAAAACTTCTACAATAACGTAACTTGTGTAAATGAACCATATGTGCTATAAAGTTAGCTGCGAATTGAATCTCTAATCAAAGAACAATCTATTTTCCTAGTGAGTAGCGAACTAAAGTTCTGTAAAAGCATACATACATACACACAGCGGAAGCAAAGACGTTTAAAAATAATTTATAATATATTCTTAACCAAATAATTAAGCTATTAAAACCACCAAACCAACCTAGGAGTGCACCGGCTACAGTCATGTACAAGAGCGAATCTCTTCAGACGATGGCCACAATGCCCATGGTCAGGATACGTTGCATGGATGGCACGTGGCTGCCACTTCAGCAAAATTGGTGTAATCGCTGTTGCACGCTGCCAGCACGCTATACGGAGCAGAACGCGCAGCGTATCCATGCCTTTGAGACCCGTGACAGCGATGTGTTTGTGGTGACCTTTATGAAGTGCGGCACCACTTGGATGCAGGAGCTGGCGTGGTTGCTCCTTAATCAGCTGGACTTTGAGGCCGCCAAGAGCCGTTATGTAATGGAACGCAGTCGATTCCTAGAGTGAGCCGCCCAATTTACAATTTATTATCCAATTACTAAGCATGTCTCATATCCCATCTTAAAGGTATTCTGCGCTCTCGCCGCTGCCCGATGATACGATAACAGCATGCGAGGAGATGGTTAGTCCACGATTGATAAAATCTCATTTGCCGGCTCAATTGTTGCCACAGCAGGTCTGGCAGCAGGGCCGTAAAATAATCTATGTGGCTCGCAATCCCAAGGATGTTGTGGTTTCCTCGTACCATTTTTTAAAAGACACTCTACTGTGGGAGGGCGATTTGAATACATTTGTCAACGAGTTTATGAAGGATCAGATATTATTCACCTCCTTCTGGTCACATATTGTAGATTTTTTGAGAATGCGCAACGAACCCAATATTTTCTTTGTTACCTATGAGGAAATGAAGCGGGACTTAAGATCTGTCATTAAGAGACTATGCAAGTTTTTATCTGTGGATGATGTAAAAGATAATCAAATGGAACAATTGCTGCAGCATTTATCATTTGACAATATGAAAGGTAAGATTTGAGAATAGTTTCCAAAATATATGCATATTCAATGGTCACATTATATGTTTCAGGCAACAAATACAGCAATCTGACGGGCTTTTTCAAACAAATTCAAAATACTACCAAGGACTTTGAGTAAGTCTTAGATTTTATTTTCGACACATCAATATTAACAGAAGAATTTTAGATTCATGCGTCGTGGAGTTGTTGGTTCCTACAACGATGAGCTGAGTGCCTTACAAAAGCAAAAACTAGATAAATGGTCCAGCGATTTTTTGAAGGCATACGATATTAGGGAGTCGGATATATTTGGCGATCTATAAGTAGATTTTGAAAATGTTTGCTTTTCCTTTTGATCCGCACCAAAGATAATTTCAATAAATTAAAATTACAATATACTGCAATAAATAAGCTTCTGTTGTTTGAATCTTCTTATCCGCATTACGACGGCTTATAAACTTTCACAACGTATAAGATGACATTTGGCGTGTATAAGATATATGCTTGGCTCTTAGATTTGTTTTAGCTGCTCAGTCTTGGTCGAAACGTGCGCGGTTTAAGCCGCATAAACTCGTGTTGAGTGGTTTTTTTTTATGATGTTGGGCCGTGAGCTTTTATTAAGGCATAAAAAAACTATTTTAATGCTGTTGCTGTTCGCTGTAATTTGCAATGTTATCATTTATCTCTACATAACGGACACGAAAACAGAAGCTTCAACAACCAGAACAACATCAACAACAGCTGCAGCAGAATTTGCCCCAAAGATGGCAACAACGCCACATGAGCTCATTCAGCCGGAGACGCTAGTGATGGCCGGTCTGGGCGCATTGGGTCGACCGGCGGAGAGCAACTGGACTGCTGAGCAGCTGCTGGCCATGGAGAGCAGCCAGCGCGAAACGGGTTATAATGCCTGGCTCTCAGAGCGCATATCACCAGCGCGTAAGCTTTTCGATATGCGGCATCGCAGGTGAGTCGCGGCAGCCAAGTATAAGAGCCTCACTCTCATCAACTGCGCTAACTGTTGACAGCTGCAAAAAGCTCAAGTACCCATTGGAAAAGCTCCCAGCTATCAGTGTCATTATCACGCAACACAACGAACAGCCGAGTGTGCTGATAAGAACGTTAAGCAGTCTGAGGAGCAGAACGCCGGCACGCCTATTGCGAGAGATCATTCTGGTGGATGATGGCAGTGACCTGCGGCAAGAGCACCTGGCGAGAATTCTGGACGAGCAGTTTCGGGGCTTGGTGCAGCAGCAGCGTCTGCCAAGGCAGCTGGGCCTGATGCAGGCGCGTCTTGCGGGCGCTGAGAAGGCGCTGTCGAAAGTTCTCGTATTTCTTGATGCCCATGTGGAGGTCACCCGGGGTTGGCTGGAGCCCTTGTTGGCACCGCTGCTCGAGAACAATAAGACCTGCTGCACACCCGTCGTGGATACCATAGACTATGAGACCTTTGCCTATAGGCGCGGCAAGCCATCGCGTGGCTTCTTCGACTGGGACTTTAATTATGTGCAGCTGCCGCTGCTCAAGGAGGAGGAGCAGGCGCTGCCTGCGCCACATGACAATCCCATCATGAATGGAGGTCTGTTTGCCATAAATCGCAATTGGTTCTTTGAGCTGGGTGGTTATGATGAAGGACTGCGCATTTGGGGCGCGGAACAGTTCGAGCTGAGCCTCAAGATATGGCTGTGCGGTGGTCGCCTGCTGGAGGTGCCTTGCTCCAGAGTGGGACATCTCTTCAGGAATGGCGGTTTCCATGCGCAGTACATGAAAACCGAAAGTGGTAGCAAGGCGGTAGCTAGGGTAAGGCCCTCCAAGAAAGTAGAATTGCCCAAGTGACTAATCTCATAATTCCCATGTCCAGAACTACAGACGTGTGGCCGAGGTGTGGTTGGATGAGTACAAGGACAAGCTTTATGCGAATATGCCGCACTTGACCCACATCAAGGTGGGTTCTTTGAAGAAGCAAAAGGCACTACGTCAGCGTCTAAACTGTAAGCCCTTCAAATGGTTTTTGGATCACCTGGGTCGCGACTTTTTGGAGCAGTATCCAATGGACGAGCCTTTGGATTTCGCCTTTGGCGCTGTGCAAAGCTTGGCAGCGCCCACACTGTGCTTGGAGCGAACAGAGTCTGCGGAACATCCGCAACTGCTGCCTTGTGATGAGGATCTCATGTATCCAAAGTTGGAGCAAAAGTGGTCTTTGAGCCATTTCCGTGATCTGCACTCGAGTTCCCGTTGCCTGGAGGTGCACCAGCAGCATCCAAATGCTGAAATTTGGCTCTGGCAATGTCATCATCATGCTGGCAATCAGTTTTGGTCCTTCGACCTCAATTCCAAGCAGATAATCCATGGCCAGAACAGAGCTGAGCAACGTTGCCTTGAAGCTCTAGTGGAACAGCGCAAGGTAGTTGCCAATATCTGTGATGCCAACAATCTGCGGCAGCAATGGAAGTTCGGATATGCAAATGAGAAACTGCTGGAGGACTTATGGAAGAATATACCTCAGTAGCAGAAGTCAAAGAAGGGCTGACTTACTGACTGCTAGACCTTTTACCTGACCATGATTTGAAGATACTCATTAGCTTTACAAATAATTGGCAAGTAATTCTAATAAGTCTAACAATACCCTGTCTCCACGGAAAATATACTAAATGGGTAGCTTTCTACCCGTCTGTCTGTCTGTACGTCTATCGTGCCGATCTCAGAGACTGGGTGCAGGGTATCTGCTAGTCGGCCATTGCCGAATAGAGCATTTTGTAAGTACAATAAAAAATTGATTTAAAATTTACTTAATTCCACTTTGATTTTGATTAACGGGAATAGTTTTATTTTTCATGTGGTACCTTGAATTTGGCTTGGACTCCTTCGAGTTCTTCATTCCATGCTCTCGCTTCGGAGGCTCCAAATATCCTCACCTGATACGTTAGATAATAAAAGTTGTATATATGTGGCATATATTCGAATTTTGTGCAAATTAGGCGCGAAGAGGCTGGCACGTTGAGCTAAAAAGAGATTTTATTATAGCCGAAAAAGTGGTTCAGTGGCCAGAAAAACTTACATCGAGTATATCGTAGTAGAACCGATCGAGGAAGTATTTGTGATACTCCAGCGATGCATTCAGTGGTCTGCCCAGGTGTTCTTTCAATACGAAAGGTATAAAACGGTGATCGCCCAGGTGATCTCGGCTATCGCCAGCTAGAACATTCACATTGCTGAGACAACGGCCCAATTGCTCAGTTGCAGCGTCGCCCTGTGGGCTTGAGCTGCAGATGGTCTCATTAGGCATGGCCTTCAGGACGAATTGCCTAAGTGCAGCGCTGCTAAAAACAATACCCGATCGCTGGTACATGAAGGTCTGTAAGTAGAGTAAAAAGCTGTTCTTATATATATAGTCTCATGTTGGATCAGCACCTGGTTGGCGGCATTGCGCATCTTGCAGCCAAAGTAAATGAGCTCCTTGGGGCTGTAGGACTGCAGCATGTAGCGTAGGTTCTCCACCACGACAAAGCTGCGAAGAGTGATAGTCAGTGGCGGCGGGCTTGGTCGTAGAGCTCAGCTCGTACTTATCATCATTGGAATAGAGAAACCAATCGCCCTCGTCGAAGTGATATTTGTACACGTACTCAAAGTGAGCACGCATTTGCATCCATTTATCATTCAAATTCAGAAAAACGGCGGGCTCCAGCTCCTCGTGTGCATCATCGCTGACAAATAGATACTTATCACAGTGCTTGGACCAGGTGCGTTTCACATGCACCGCCGTCGACTCTTGACGATAGTAGTAGGTGGAGATAATGCAAAAGATACGCGCTGCGGGCGGAGCAGACCTTGCAGCTTTTGGCTCTGGATCCCTTTGCAGCAACTTCATGACCAGCAGACAGAGCAGTCCGAGAATCGCCAGTTTCTGAATGGCACGGAGTATGGAGCAGACCATCGCACAGTAGCTGCTGCACGGATTTATGATGCTAATTTTATTTTTGCCGCTCAGAAAGAAGCGTCGCGTGCCTAAGAGCTGTCCCATTTTAAAACTGGTACTGAAATCAGTTCGAAAGATGATGATGATGATATGTTGGCTGCCTCGGCTGTGAACCGTGGCTTGTGGTCTGTACTGGCTACAATTTAATTATATTGAGTGCTTTTGTCTGTCTCAGTTTCTCGGTTTCCGCCACCTCAGCCCAGCTCTCGATTGGTTCGCCGCATACAAATTGCCTTTTTCAATTAGAAATATTAACTCACCTTGCCGGGAGCTGTCTCTGGCAATGCCTTTGCGTGCCGCTCAAGTCGAAGCTGATGCAAAACTTTGGTTACGCTTCGTTTGCAGTTTGAAATTGAGAATTGACAAGTGCAGTTGAATGCGGGTAGCGTTAAACGAGCCAAAGGCGCAACACTAGACAGCTGCTGGGCGGGCTCAGCTATTGGGAGGAATATCTCCAATGTTGAATTGGTAATGTACCTAATGGGCTAAGCAGCAGCTGGCGAAGGTGTTGAAAGCATGGCAAAGTAAGCGAGTGCTGACAGTGAGAGTAGTTGGTAACGAAAGGGTGAAGACCGAAGCTTACATTATTAAACGGAATATTGACAAGCCGAATTTTATGGAGTTTTTACAAGACGGAATATATAAAGGGCTACATTTAAAGAGATTACTATATATTTAATTTCTTTCATCTACTGAATTTGCCATGCAATGATGCAATTTGCTAACGAAATTTGTCAGACAGAAGTTGATAAAGGTAAACGGAGAAGCGACATGCTAAATTTTATGGAAGATTTCAAGACTTAAAGAGCTTACTATTTTAATGTTCTTCACTTAACTGAGTATCTTTTAAATAACTACGATTTGGTAATGAGAGGACTTAGAAACTTGTTTATATGAGTAAACGAAGAATTTTTGAATTCATGTAGTTACATTTAAAAGATAACTTTTTAAGAGATCTTAAAGATACTCAAATCCTCCTAAAAACTGAAGTTTGATTACAAAAGGTTTGAGAGCGAAGTAAATAACTGAACGGAACATTAACATTAATATTTGCTTTTATTTACCTCACTTGCCTTAAAATCTGCAATTCGGCACCGGAAGGTCAGAGTTTATTGACATGATGAATTTGATGGAATATTTGTATAAAAACTAATGGAATATACATAGTTACATTTGAAGAGTTCACTATTTTCATATTACTTCGTTTACCGAAGTTATCTTGAAAATCTGCGATTTGGTAACGAAAGGGTTAAGACATAAGCTGATATAAGTGAAGATAGAAGATATTTCTTTCAAATTAAGGAGCTAACTATTTGCATGTCCCTAAACTCTACTCAACTCCCCTCAAAAACAGCAAAATGTTAGGCATTTCATGCGCTCTGCATGTTATTAAGCCATCAGTCAGTTCTCTGAGATCTATGCCAGATTTGCATAGACATGTGTATCTTTACGAATTGCGTCGAAAAAACATAGATAGCTGTCGCATTAGATAACAAATGTCAGCTATTGTTTGATTTGAAGGTGTTTTGCAACCAAAAAAATCAAAAGAAAACACGATACAATAACTTATATAATAACATGTGAGCCGATTCACGTGAAACTGTCAAAAAAAAAAGACATATAAATATAAGTAAAGGTAAGCGATATTTGTTCAAATAGGGCATTAATGTCTCAGTTTACGTGCTCAAATTACCAAGATGGGTTGTCATTGTTGGCTAACAGGTTGGCAGCACAAAATGGTAAACAATAGGCCTACACACACACACACACACACACACACACACACACGAGTACAGTGAGGCACAGGAAACAGCAGCCGGAGCAGCGGCAGAAAAATGCGCAATATTGCATACAATTTGCCTTTCGCCCTTTGGCAAGAGACTCCAATAGCGATTCGAATGTCGAGACCAAAGACAGTGCCAGGCATGCTGCAACAATGACACTTTGCAGTTGCAACAAAACGGAAGTAATTTTGCGCAGGCAGCCAATGGAAACAAAGGGCTTGGGAAAACGAAGACCAGGCTAGACAGGGAGACATACTTTTCATTGATGAACACGTATCTCAATCCACGTGTGTCTGTCTGTGTGTGTGTGTGTGTGTCAGTGTGTTTGTATGTGGGCTGAGATTGTGGGACCCGTATGTGGCATGAATTATGTGAGAAACTGTTGGGCTAAGTAGTTAGATGATAGATGATATGTGGGTTACACGGAAGTAAACGTAGCCGTAACCCAAGATGCTGCCCTCTACACGTAATTGAAATATCCGAAACACGGAAATACTTTGGCCGATTCACAGCCAACTGGCAGCTGCGACAGTTTTGGTTCCTTTATTAAGACAACAGCTCCATGGAATTGCGCAGAGGTTTGCCAAAAATACGTACATGATACATAAAGTAATATAAATCAAATATTCTGGGTGGATAAGACACGTGAAATGTAATAGCCCGCCTTGAAATGGGCACCGTATGCTGTTATAAGTATTTAAATTAAGAATTCTTCAAAAGATTTTTCCACAATACAATAATAAGCAATATTTACCAAATCCGTTGAATGCCAACTCATATTCCGTAGCCAGGGAATATAATCGTAGCCCTTTATAAACAGTTCGCTGGTTACGATCGGTATAAAAGTCTCGTGACCTAACTCATCTCGAGTATCGCCGGTGACCACGCCCACATTCATTAAACAGCGCCCAAGCTCCAAATCCTCTGTAAAGCCCTGCATTTTCATGCAATGCTTCGAGTCTGACTTCTTGGCCTCCACTGTATAACGCCTTAAGGCCTCTCGGCTCAGCACGTAGCCGCTTTTCCAATAGTTGAAGGACTACCAAAAAATATTCATAGACTTGGTAGGTCAATTGCTAGATTGTGAGACATACCAAGTTGGTGCCAGGGTATTTGAGCTCATAGCCCAGATAAATAGGTTCAGAGGCAGAAAATTTTTGAAGCATATAGCGGAGATTCTCCACGGCTACAAAACTGTGGGTACAAATATACAAATATTTATAAGGATATAATATCAGATATAAAAACAGTATAATTAGACATGATGACAATCTATCCTACAACAGTGGGTATACTTCCCTCTACAAGGGTATATTAATTTTGTAGTGAAATGATTAGCGCATTATTGTAATATTATATGATTTTATGGAGCCTAAGCTTATCTGATTTGAATTACTCATGAGAGCATATACTATAAGCTTTAACAATGTTAAGTTTCAATTTAGATGAATTCTTTCACTTGGAACTTTTTGCGTAAAAGTTCTAAAAAGTAACTATTATTTTAGCTATAATAATATATGTAATTTATAAGTTAACCAATTAACTTTACGTATAAAATAAGTAATAAAAATGTTATAATTTAGCGGAAAAGTTCGGCAGAATAAACGCTTCGTTGAAGCCAAGCAAATCGTATTTACAAATATTGCAAACGCTGATCTGTTGTGCATACAAAGAAATCCATAGGTAAAACATCGAAGATAAAAACTACAAGCCGCTCCAGAGATCCCCGCCCCAAAACAGCCGCTCCTGCCTGCAGCTTCGTGCCCGGCCAACAATCCTTTGCCAGCGTCCTCCGCGGTACCCAGCCCGCAGAGCGCAGTGCCCGCTCATCGTCTCGCAGAAGGAACACTGGCAGTACTCCCAGCCAATCGCAACCTGTTGCCGACAACTGCCCCAACTCAGCCCTTGAGCTCATGATGAAGCAAATGTTCGCCAGATTCGACCAACTGATGTCTCTCATACAGACTCTTTTACAAGCGCTAATGCACACTAGCGCCAAAAATAACAGTGCCTAAAATGAGCTCCCTCAGGATAGCACTATGGAACGCCAACGGAGTCTTTTCGAAAGCGAATGAGATCACAGCCTTCATCGAACTCCACCACATCGATGTGTTTCTGCTCACGGAGACTCACTTCTGCTCTCGAATCACCCTCAGAGTGCCAGGCTACACTCTCCACACCGCCAACCACCCAGACAACAGCCAACATGGAGGAGCAGCAATATTGATCAGGTCGTCCTTGTCGCACCACTCACTTGAGTCATCCTGCCACTGGCATATGCAAGCTGCTGTTATCCGACTCGGATCCAGCAGAGGCGACTTCAATCTCGCCTCTGTATACTGCCCTCCGGCCTTGAGAGTGACTGAGGCACACTTTCGAGCCCTTTTCGACCAGCTTGGCCCCAAATTCCTGGCAGGAGGAGACTGGAATGCCAAACATCGCTGGTGGGGAAACTACCGCATGTGCCCCCGAGGGAGAACGCTCTTCTCTGCCATTGAGAATGAAGGCATCGAAGTCATAGCCACTGGAGAGGCAACGTGCTACCCATATAGGGCTACTGCAACACCAAGTGCACTTGACTTCGGGCTCTACAAGGGATTCAGACAGGAACAGCTGCGAATACGAAGCCTCCTTGACCTGACGTCGGATCACCTCCCATTACTGATTGAGCTCGAGGAGACTCCCAAGTGGGAAGTTGGAATCCGCAAAATGCTCCCGCCGCGCTCTAACTTGGGAGTATACCGGGCCTGCCTCGAGGACACATTAGAGCTCAACGTCACCATAAATACGGCAAGTGAACTGGAGAGCTACGTTGACCACCTCACAGCGAAAATTACGGAAGCTGCTAGACGTGCAGCCCCGCAAACCCTGCCTCACTCTCGTACCTTCAGAAGGTCCCTACTAAGCCCTGAAGCCAGGAGTCTCCTTGCCGACAAAAGACGTCTAAGGAGGCTGTACATCCGCAACGGAGACCCCTCTACCAAGGCAGAAATGGTAAGCGCGTCCAACCGGCTCAGACGACTGCTGGCTAGGACTCGAACGGAAAATCTAGACAGCCTCCTCGAAACAACTGGGCATGACGGCAACAGCACCTTTTCAGTGTGGAAGCTCACCAGAAGCATTAAGAGGCAACCAGTTTTTACCTCCCCGATCACGGACCACTCTGGCCTCTGGCTCCGATCGGACGAGGAAAAGGCCAACGCGTTTGCTGACTACTTGGAGACAACCTTCAAGCCATTCGACTTCGCAGATGTTGCACAGCGCCGTAAAGTAGCCGAGTCACTGGACGCTCCACTGCAGATGGCTCTCCCGATAAGAAGCATCTCCCCCGCGGAAATCGGGACACAGCTGAAAATGCTTGAGCTAAAGAAGACCCCAGGATGCGACGAAATCGACAACAGAGCAGCTAAGGCTCTCCCACGCAAAGGAGTCATGGCGCTCGCCACAATTTTCAACTCCATGCTCCGCCTTGGCCACTTTCCGAAGCAATGGAAACATGCGAAAATTGTGATGATCGCCAAACCCGGTAAGCCGCTAACTCAACTTGAGTCCTACCGCCCTATAAGCCTTCTGCCGACGCTCTCAAAAGTCTTTGAGCGACTCCTGCTAAGCCGTCTCTTAGAACTCGACGAGGTCACGCGCCTGGTCCCGGATCATCAGTTTGGCTTCAGAAAGTCTCACGGCTGCCCCGAGCAGGTCCACCGGGCAGTAAAACACGTACTAGAAGCTTTTGAGCAGAAGCAATACTGCGTCGGCGTTTTCCTCGATGTCAAACAAGCGTTTGACAAGGTCTGGCACGATGGTCTTCTGTTCAAGATCAAACTGATACTCCCAGCGCCATACTTCAGCATCCTTAGCTCCTTTCTGGCAGGACGCACCTTTAATGTGGCCGTTAAAGACCAAAGGTCGGCAATTAAGGGCATCAGAGCAGGTGTCCCACAAGGCAGCGTCCTCGGTCCGATGCTGTACACGCTGTATACGGCGGACCTGCCCACACAAGGACAAAGCAACGAAGACCTCAGCCCTGCGAGACTGCTGGTGGCAACATATGCGGACGACACTGCCTTCCTAGCCTCCCACAAAAATCTGCAAGCTGCTACAAGTGCAGTGCAGGACTGGCTGCTGCAGATCGAAACCTGGACAGCTATGTGGAACATCGCTATAAACTGTGCCAAGTCCGCCTGCGTCACTTTTACGCTGCGCCCATACAGCTGCCAGGGGCTACGGTTCGATGGAGGAACCATTGAGCAGACCAACTCTTTCTGCTACTTGGGTGTCCACCTGGATCGAAGGCTCATATGGGGGCCTCACATCGCAGCAACGAGAGCAAAATGCCTGAGAAGACTTCAAAAGCTCGATTGGCTACTAAAGCCTCAAAGCAAGCTGCACATATCCACGAAGACACTGCTTATCAAAACGATGGTAACGCCTATCTGGACATATGCGATCCAAGTTTGGGGCACGGCATCAGCACACCAGCTCCGTCGCATAAGAGTGGTCCAAGCCAAGGCAGCACGCAAGGTTGCTGGCCTGCCATGGTACGTAACAACAGACGCCATCGAACGCGATCTCCGCCTAACAAAGGTCGGAGATCAGCTCAACTTCTTCAGCAGCCGATACTCCGACAAATTGGTGCAGCATCCGAACGCGGCCGCAAGGGCCCTGGCTGAGCCCATCAGTGAGAGGCGCCTCCGAAGGCTACACCCCGACGACCTACCAACGAGGCACATCACTTAAACATCCCTTTCCCATTATTGTTATATATTTTTAAGTCTGTAATTATCATTTAAGTTATTAAATAATAACTATACACTATACCCTTAACTCCGCTTGGTAGAGATCAGAAGGCACTGATCGATTCCAGCGCAAAATAAACCAAATTAAGTTTAAAAAAAAAAAAAAAAAAAAAAAAAAAAAAAAAAAAAACTACAAATAAACGTATAGCCATATGCAAACAGTTATTATTTGAAAACCGTGTCAACAAGATTCGGCAAGTGAAGATCCGAATATCCGTTTCTGAATGAATGGCGACCCAATGCAAACAATGCCAAGTTCAAGCCGCAAATGTGCGCGGTAAACAAACTAAGCAAAAAGAAAACAATAAAAAAAAAAAACTAAAAATAATAATATGAGAAGAAAAAAAAACACATTTAACACGCGTACACTTCAAAAAATTCTATACACACACACACAGGTCAGCTTGAGGTGTGTCTGCGGCTGTGTGTGTGTGTAAGTGTTATTTGCCAAACAAAGAGCCAAAATAATTGTTGATAATGCCGATAAGGTGAGGTGCTTGATTTTAGTTAGATGTTTTTTTTTTCCCACCAAATAAACAAACTAGAACCGGTTCGCAGCACATTTGTTTGAGGTTTCATTAGAGTATGTGCTCAGTTAGGATGAATATAACTAATTAACTTTTGCACAACGATTTTGAGGGCCTTGCCCCTAACCCAGAAATTGGTAAAGGCTTTGCTAATAAAATATGAAAAAATGTTTTCATTCGAAGTCGATAGGTCGGCAAGTGCTAGACAAGACGCCTCATTTCAAGGCCCATTAAATTTGATATTTCATATTGCCCAAGTCCCGCCCTCTCCCTCTCCCTCTCTCGCTCTATCTCTATCTCTCGCTCTCTGTGTCTCCCTGTCGCTGGTGTTGACATCACTTGTAATAAATTTCCAATTATGTGTGTCGGCATAAATTAAACGAAACATCCATTGACAGCGCACTAAGACTTAATTGACCCTTTAACACTAACTTTGCCTCGACAAAATATATAATAAAAAATAATCAAATAAAAATGTCAGCGATAAGCGCAGAATATGACGTCGTTAGTACATTAATCTTAAACGTCGCTTATTTTACAGAAAATATACAAATAATTAAAACAGATTAGAAATGAATGCTACATTATTATTAATTTTTTTTTTTTGTATTTTGCTTGGCAATTATTTATAGAAAAAGTTAATGTTCAATCTTGAAATGCTCTTTATATAATTTTATATATATATATGATTAAAATTATATAAATACATTTTTTATTTGTGTCAATGTGCAGCTCAACCGAAAATATTGTTGCATTGCGTATCAAAATTACTTTTGATCGGATTTCATATTTGCATTTGCTGAACATTAAATAAATGGATTAAAATACGAATGTGCATACACTTATAGATATTCATATTCGTATATTCTTGCATCTACTATCTAAAAATACCAAATTTTAGTTGACTATCTGCGACTTGGGTGTGGGAAAATGTTCAGTTTGAATTTCAAAGAGCTGACAAAATTTGTACCAATTATCAAAGGAAAACTCCCTGGAGTGCAATCAGCTACTCGCATATGCATATAATTCTTGTTTTTCTTATTGTTGTTGTTGTTCTTATTGTTGTTGTTGCCTGACGATGACGACAAAAGGCAGATACAGATAAAAACTGCTCTCAAAAGATACTTCCTTGCTGCCGTGGCGCAGTTGATAAAGGAAACGTTGTGTGAGCCAAACCACAAAGCAGCAAAGGAAGCACAAGAAAACGAGAAAAAAAGAATGAAAATAATGATACTGAACGGAACGGAACCGTAAACCCATAGCCAGAGGCTGATAACTTTATCAATGAAAAGTCAAATGCAACCGGAGTGGGGGGGGCAGCGCATAAAGAAGTAAAACGAATGTTTTGAATGTCATAACAATATGCAAGCGATAAAAAATAATGACAAAGAGTGAGCCGGCAATTTATGAATGCCACAATTCAAATAAAGTTATGGATACCTCCAGTCGTCGATTTTGAGAAACCAATCGGCATCGTTCTGGTAGTATTCGAACGCGTAGATAAGGCCCTGCCGCACCAGCGTCCAATTGTCTGTTGTGTTGACCAGCGGCACATAGGGCTCCAGCTCCAGATCCGCCTGCCCACTAACCAGCAGCAGTACATTGCAATGCTTGCCCCAGGTGCGTTTCACATACCTGGCCGCATCGGTGTACCAATATTTGTAGGTCACCAGGCAAAGGACACGAATCTTATCGTAGAGTGGATCAGCGACTATGGATTGTGTTGCTATTGACCCACTCTTGGCAATGCGCCCCACTCTGTTGGCTTTCAGTTGCGCCAGGGTCTTCCAGTAAAGCGCGACCAGCAGCAGGACTATGATGCAGAGGTAGAACACATGGAAGCCACGTCTATGCGAAACCATTGCTGACAACTATACTAAATGGGCTTGTGATTAATGACACTCACTAGAGCAGCACAGCAGCACCTATGATAAGAAATTAATCAAACCTAACATACAAATTTGACATGCAGATATAGTTAAGTTATCAGACGCTTAGTTAGTTTCCTACCCAAGTTAGTTGGGCTCGGCGATGTGTTCAGTGTGGCGTGTTGTTCCCTCGCAGATTCTTGCGGAAGCAGACAACGTAAATTGCAAACCGGCTTTCCTTTATGGCTGAGCTATTTCCTTAATTTCGGTTTTATAACAAAAACAATTGTGTTTTGTTGAAATAACATTGAACTTTGTCAAGTGAACCTCATAATAACCCATTATAATGATGCTAATAGTTTTTATCTGCTTGGATTAAGTCTTATGTTTCTCAGCTAAGCCGTCAGATAATTTAATTTCTTAAATTGTTTTTAATTGGCATATATTTGGTTTTTATAATATTTTGTAATAGTCAATGAATGATTTGCGTAGAGTCAAGTGCTAATCCAATTTGATGGGCAATTACATACATTTAAATTAAGTTTAAATGATAATTGGATCAAGTTTGAAACGGGTGGCAGCTTTTAAAATACAACTTTTAGAATTAACTTAACTAGTTTGAGCTGATTCTGTAAGCAAATGCTACAAATATGTTACCAATACAATAAAAGCCAGCTTCTCGAGCCCTTTTGATGTTCGCTTTTATTTTGCATTGTAAATATTATATAATCCCAGCCTAAACAGTCAACTTCATATTGTTCTCATCCGTTGTTAGTTAAGTTCAATATTGCCACAGCAAACAGACAGCTTAAGCACTACAAATAGACACAATTAAAGACCTGCCAGATTGGACCATAAAACCCAAATCCCTGAACCGAACTCCAACTAAACGGAGCATCGCGGGTTTAGTGCATTTCTCATGAAATCTGGCAACTAAAGCAACAGCAACCTGCTGCTCCAAAGCAATCGGAGCCAAGCCAATCCAATTCAAGCCAAGCTAAACAAACATTAAGTTACAAAATAAAATCTTTGGGCCATAAAATTAAAACACAGCAGAAGAGAGCATAGCAGAAAGAGACGGAGCGCGTGTATCTGAGCGAGTGCGCAACACGTTAATCTTGCGACGCGAAGCTTATCAGCAAAACAAACCTGCAAGCAACCTACTTTATATGTGAATGTATCTCTATCTGTAGCTGTGGCTGCGCCTGTAGCTGTATCTGTTGCTGCATCATCTGTGTATCTGTAACTGTGGCTGTGGCTGTGTCTGCATTTGTATCTGTCTGTATCTGGAGCTACCACGAAACCCTTTACCCCTTGGCCCGAATGTTGCGCTTTGATGTCTTCTGATGCAAGCGCCTAGATAGGAACAGTTAGCAGTTGGCAACACTCTTAAACCCTCTTCGAATCTCTCTCTCCCTCTCTCTCTCACTCTTTCGCTCTGTATAGTTCTATTTTTTATGAGTTGGGTTCACGTTTAGGTCTGGCGAGCATCTTGCTGCATGCCCATAACTTTGACTCTCATCTAACTTTTATTTGCATTTTTATTCGTTCTGAGAACTTTTATTTCGCTGCCGGCTGAATCTAATTTGATTTGTTGACTAAAACAAACAGTTTTTAAAAATGCCTAACTGGCATCTACTTTTTCATTTTGTTTTTACTTATTTAGCATAAAGTTGAACTTTATTGCGTTTGTGTATTTATTCGATATTTTTAGAGTTTATTTACATGTCAAACTTGACCCAATCCGAGATGATAATTTGCATATTTCGAGTGAGTGAACTTTCAAGTATATTGCCAGCTGCATTCACAGCCAACTCAACATTGTTCCAAGGCTTGCCCATTTGCAAGGCATACAGGGTATACAGTGCATTGCAGCTACCCACAGAATAATATACCTGAATTCCAGGTAAGGGAATGTATTAACCTAGCTAAATGCCAGTAGTAGAAGTCAGTAGCCAGTTATATTAAAAAGTAAGGCTAATAGTTTACAACTATTCCGTATTCTGTTAATAATAATAATTTATGATAGTTACCTTTTGAATTTGTTGATTAATTCAACTATTTGCGAGATACCATGAGTGGTCGGGTTGTTACATTTGTTACATATGCATTAAGTGGCTTTTGCATGCCTTTCATTGAAATGAATTCGTTCTTAGAAAATGTTCTATTGCGCTTTCAATATAATAAATATTCATTTTAAATATTTATTCGAGCGCCACATTTGCCGTGGCACATTGCAAAGGCAAACAAATCAAATGGCAAAATCTTTATAGCCAATGCCCATCAATTCACGTTTACTTAGCAGCTTTTGTTTTTAGCCAAACCTTTCATTCACCTTTTGTGTTCATAAAATACGAGTAGAACGTTAAATAAAAGCCATGTAAAATCAGCAGCGTCGTGTGTTCCGAAAATGTTTGCTCAAGTCGAAAGGAAAGAGATAAATATTTCAAAACTGAATATTTAAGCACAATTAACGCAAGGCTCTTAAAAATATTAAATAAAAACAAACAAAAGCTGACACGAGTCGCAAACATTTTGAGGCAGTGTGACTTTTAATGCGAGTGCAAATAGCTGTGTGTAAAGAGTTTAGTTACTTTTGACACACGACAAGGCAGCGAGATAGACACAGCTGGATTCAAATCGAATACAATGTGTAAATTCTGAAGAAACAAATCTCGCTGGAATGCCTTTATATTAATAATTTTAATATATATCATATGCGATTGCTCAATTAATTATCTATAAATGCATCGAGTCTGAATAGTAAGTAGTAGGTGTGTTATAAATATTAATTATTTTAGTCAGCCTACAAGTCAATAGTCTTTTTAATTAAGTCAATATACTATTTAATACGATCTTTTCGATTATATAATTACATATTTTATACGGCTAACTAAGTTAAATATTTCGTTGCAACATTTGTATTTTTTGCGTAACTTTTTCAGCGAGCTTTAGCAATTTATTAAATATTTATTATATATATTTACAGATGCATTTACTTGGATATTTATTTGCCAAAATACCATATGCACAAACCAAACTGACCCAATATAAATATTTGTATATATGTATGCATGTATATCTATATATTTATTTATTTATGCACCCGCTTCTAGTAAATAATGTGAGAAAAAAAAATAAGCAAACTGGCTTGCCAATTTTTTGCGCCACCTCCTGAAAAGTGGGTCAAATGTTGCGTATGACGTAGTCGAATTTGGATTCGGATTCGTCGTCCGACCGGTTTTCACTTTCAAACATCGTCGGCGGCGGGGCGTCTGCAGCTATTCCAGAGCTTTAGCCAACGTTTTTAGCGGTTAATTGAAAATTCATTCAACTAAATAACGCTGCCGTTGGAGGGACTTGGCCTAAACCGTGGGCTAATGTGCATTTTATTAATAAATTGTTCGTTTCATTAGGCCGGCTGGCTGGCTGGCAGACTCCATAGGGCAACTTTCTCCCCATCTGCATCTCGTGGATGGTTTTTTAATAAATTGTTTGCCCTTTGGTTGCGCTTTCTTTCGCCCGCCCATCACCAACTGCCTCGGACTCGGCATCTGCATTTAGTTACGGATTTGGGCATTTTATTTGAATTGTAAGCTAATTATGTTGTTTATGTTGTATAATATTTTGATATGCAGTCCGGACAACACATGTTTTGTTGCTTTTGCAATAAACTTTTCGAGGCGTGCCCTATCAAATGCAAATGAGATCTCTTAAGATGATATTGTGATACGAGTCGATTTCAAAGGCAGTCCCAAGGCGTGACTAAGATATTATGCCAGTACCCAAAGTATAAGGCAACTTTTACAAAACCATTACGCTTCAGCCCATTAGCCGATCAATTAGTTTGCATAAACCAAAACTCATTAGCAACTATTTCAAGTACACACGACAAATATTTGCCCGTTTTGTGAGCAATTAACTATTAGACTAAAACGCTTAAAAAAAAACTTAAAGAATTCTCATTGTAACACATGTTGTTAATAGAAATAACAAAGTCTGTTAACCGATTGATTTAAGGCGGAATTTATAGAACAAAAGCAAGTACAGAAACGTGGTTTTTTTTTTAGAGCATAGGCTGGCCATTTCTTAAAGATATTTCAACTTCTACCTAAATGCTAATGTAATAAAGTATTATGTATTAATTGTCAAAGAAGAAAGACGGAAGTCGACAGTTTTTTTCCTCCGAGCGCCAAGTTCTTAACAGAGAATGAATTCTGTGCTCAAAGTAACAACATGGCAAATGACAGAGAATGCTTCTATAGAAACGTATGTATGTTAGTTCGAGAGCTGGAAACCTAATCGGTTTTGGCACTATATGGAGCCTACGTGAGTGGATTAGTTATGAATGACGGCAGACGGGAAACATAGTCCGGGCACGCATTGATAGGCACGCGCATGCGCAACATTTTTGGAATATTTTGCGTTGTTTGATATCGATGCAGGCTAATTAATTAATTTGCACACACTGCGGCACACTCTAGTGTTTGACAAGTTTGCATTGTTTTGGGAACAGCAAAAAGTTCACCAATCGATATAAACAGCAACAGAAAGCTAAAGCCCCGCCACCAAGTGGGGCCTTGGCAGTGACTCATGTCTCCATTTCAGTTTTTGTTTTTTTCTTTTTTTCACCAAACCCAGGGGGCCACTTAGAATTCATAGAAAATATCATAAAGTGTCAAATAAACTTACTGCTGTCATAAATTGCAATTACAATTAAAATATATTATTTGCGCGACTGGAACACGCTGCCACACAATATGCAATATGCAAATAGCAAATGGCAAATGGCAGTTGGCACCTTTTCGCGCATGCATAGCAAGTGGATGGATACCCTGCCCCCCTGAGCACAGGTGCCTCTGCTGCTGTGGCGGTGGCTGCACTCGTTTCAGAGCCGGCAAATACTATGATGAATGTTAAGTTGTAAAGTGAATAATTTGCGCCATCCAATTTATAGTTATGGACTTTTATTTGTCTGCGCGCTCACCTGACCTGCCCCATAGGTGCGCTGGCTATCGACCAGGCATTTTCGCAACTTTCATAGCTATTTGTTATTGCCATTTGCAGCAAACAAATAATAATTGCGCAACGTACGGTGGAGATAAGCGTGGAAATTGCAATTGGGCAGATAAAAATACGTTAGTAAAAATAAATAACGTCGAGCCACAAATAAATAAATTAAAGTTCCAATCAAAAGCTGCGATTCATAGGCACATATGTTTTATCCTACAGATAAAAGTTGATTATAAAATTAACTTTATTTCTAATCTAATTAATTGCAATATCCAAAAGATATTACACGATTGTTAAATTTTCCGTCAATTTCAGAGTGTTTCAGTTGAAAAGAAACCGGTTCTCGAACAAAACCTCATTTAGTTTTATTCGAACCACTTAGGAGCAATAAATGTAAGCGATCTATTAACATTGTTTTTCACTTTGCCGCACGTTTCGTGCCCTGTGACTTGATTTTTTTGTTTACCAGTATTTGTTGCACACATCTTAACGGCTACGAAAAAAGGGGAAAAAAAAAACACATTGTAACATCATTATTTATGTCCAAGTTGAGCTGAGCAGAGCACAAGTAAACAAATTTGCATAGCTGGACCGAGTCTGGCGAGCTTATCAATACAAATGACAGGAACAATTGCATTGCAAGTACTCGCAGAAGCGTATACAATAGCATATACTCTTTCCAGCTATATCCAGCTGGCTTCTTTATGCAGCTTATCACGTGGCACGTTCTTTGCTGAATGTCAAAGTCAAACTGTCTCCATCTGTCCGCCCGTCCATCTGCTTGGGTGGCAACTATCTCAATCTGGTCGGGCATCCGTTGAGCTGTTGCCGCTATTTATAAAGCTCAACAAAGAGATGCCTGGGAAAGCCCTTGACGGGACACGATGGGGCTGATAGGGACTCGGAATGGTTTCTGATTCAGGCGTCAATCAAATCAAATGCAGCGACTCAAAATCAAGTTGAATGCCACTTTGATTGATAGCAAAATAATAAATGCGAATGCAAAGGGCGTTGATAGCAGCAGTTGAGGTGAGTTTGTGAACAATAGAAGACTTGCGATATTAAAGTATAATATTTGTATAATTTATTATGCGTCACATTGTTGTCTACTTAGAAGCTAATAACAATAAAGCAATAAAGCTGAACAAATCTTAATCGAGCATATAGGTATTTTTATAAGTACAGGTAGTTTATATCATTTGTTGCGAGTGGTCTTTCCTTCTTTTTCTATAATCACAGCGCTTAGTTGAATCTAAGTACATAAATATCATATCGCATCGAATCGCGGCCAACAGCCACAACAGCAACAATTATCACAGAGCACATTTTGGTTGGTATCGTTGAGATCTTGACCATCCAGCCGGTTCAGATCTCGGTGTTACACACACCCTGGCGAGCCATATTTAGCATTTATCGCCTTGGCCTTTCGATGTCTCGTCTCTCGTTTGGTTTTGGCAACGCGGAGATTTCTTCTTCTCGTCGATGGTCTTAAAGCCAAATACCTCAGCGTAGCTGGGCACAAAATTGGACTTAATGCTTTCGCATGTGGGTGTGGATGTTGCTGCTGCTGCTGCTGCTGCTGTTGTTGTTGTAGTTGTAGTTGTTGGCAACAGCGGAGTTGTTGCCTCACACAAAGGCAACGTCTGTGACTGTGTTGTTGCAGCTTCGACTGCGTCTGTTATTGTGGTTGTTGTTGTTGCCGTTGCACATGTTGCCGCTGCTGCTGCTGCTGTTCCTCTTTCATGCTTATTGAATATATTAAACACGCTTGGATAGACAATCAGGCACGACGACTGCGGAGTTTTGTGCAGCAACTCCAAGGCAGCTTCATAGCTGGGCAGACCGGAGACCAATGTGTATTCCGGCACCGGATCCTCCGAATCGGGCTGCAGTTTCAGTGCCTCGATATCAATAATTGTGCACTGCGATGAGCTATTGGCATTGCTATGATCTGTACACAGAGAGAAAGGTAGTTGATTAGTTGACAGACTTCATGGATGGTGTGTGTGTGTGTGTGTGTGTGTGTGTGCCAAGCCGCTTTGAGAAATGATCCAGTTCCATTTAGACATTTGTATTTTGCTGAAGTGTTTTAATTGTTCACTTTTATTTATATGTTACCCAACAATATTAATTACAGGCACGCCGCACTGCAGTTTATATATAGATTTGTGTGCATTTAATTTTTATTTTAATTTCAACCTGTTTGCCGCTCACAAAATGCACTTGGCATGAATCTATTTTGTGCTCCACTTTTTTACTTTTATTCATACATTTTCTGCTGGCACAGCAAACATGAGTATTAATAATAAAAGAAAAGTTTAGAACAAGAAACCATGGCCTCGGTTTGTGTGCCAATTCTTTTGAAGGCCGAAACACACTAAAAAAAAAAAAAAAATTAGCACTCGACGAGCATTCAGAGTGTGAATAGCTGTCAAAGAAAGTCAAAGTCTATTCAAATTAAAGCTTGCACGTGTCTAGCTTTAAGTAGGAGCCGAGCTAATTGCTGGCATTAGTTTGTGTTTAGGCCAGCTTAGTTCAGGCCACATTAAAGTGGCTCGCAATTGGTTATTAGCCTTACGATAATTCCCATTCAAGACTGTTTCGCAATTTCATGGCATTTCTGATTCATTCATGAATATCGCCCGAGAGCTGCTTGAAATTGTGCTCTACATTTTAGCACGTAGACCTCAGTCGATGTTTGTGTAACTTTCCGTGCCCCTTGATGCTAATCATAAATGCCAACCAAAGCAGGAAAAACCTTTAACTCAATACTATGTATTTGATGTTGTTTGATAAGGCCTAATCGAACTTTTTTTTATAGTACACACCCCCCTTCCCTATCAAAAAGCGATTGCTCTGGAGGCGGCGGCGACTTGTCACAGCTGTCGCATCCGTTGGGGCTTACTTACAATTTCGTTTCCAGGTGCGAAACTGATGGTACAGGAAGCAGGAGCATATGCAGAAGACCATGGAGATCAAGATAAGGGTAAAGACAATGCCGATCCACACCTCGTTCATGAACTTGTCGTACTCCAGCTGCTGCTGCAGTTGATCCACGCTGCTGCTGTCCAGCACCACACGGTTAGCGCTAAAGTCGTAATCCATGGTCAGTTCGCTGGAATTCTGTGCGATGGCTTCGTTGAGCTTGTGATGCTTCAGCTGTATCGAGTTGAAGATGGTGGCTCCAATCTTTTGCAGAAAATCGCTATTGGCCAGCGCATCCAGTGTGCTGATCGTGGGTGTTGAGGCCTCCGCGGCAGCGGGGTTCTTGCCGTTCTCTAATATTTGTTGCGCGGCGCCGCCGAAATGATCGAAATGCAGATCATGCGACAGTTCGTAGTTTAATGAGCGTGGCAGGCCCTCCATTGTATCTTATATATCGTTGTGTTCTCTGCGTTCTACCTCTTTACGCACTCGGATCACGTTCAGTAATTACGAGTATCTTTTGCTGCGGCACACTTTCACTGTAACCGTATCGGTATCTCTATCTCGATCTCTATCTGTATCTGTATTTGTATCTTGGCTCTTGGCGCTGCACACACACGTCCGGCGGCGGCTACGTCTGCAAATAAACTGATTAGCGCTCAGCACGCAGAGCAGAGCCGAAGGCAGCTCGGCTCGATCGTCAAGCGCGCTCTGTTAACTCCACTCAAGAGCGAGAGAGCGGCAACGCATGCAATCGACTGAGCGAGGGTGGGAGAGAGCGCGCTACCTGGCCAAAGATGCGCTCAATGCGCTCAGCAAGCGGCTTATGCTCATTTGCCGCTTCGTTAGGCATCGCCAAGAACTGGGCCTGAGGCGTGTGCATATGTGTGTGTGTTGGGAAATGATCTTCTTCTTCTCACTCGTGTAATGCTCGCTCAGTTCGTCTTTTGTGCTCCAGACAATGCCTTCGAATTATGGGCCCATAATTGGCGTTACAAAGCGGCGCACATGTTGCCTGCCCAGTCTCAGTTCCAGCGCAGTGCCAGTCCCAGTCCCAGTTCCAGTTCCAGTTCTTGTCCCAGTCGTACTGTTATGTAGCATCGATCTTCATTTCGGTTCTGTTCGTTCTGTTCTTCGATTTCGTTTTGCCTGGCAAATGACATATCTCTACATTTGTATTGTTCGGCCGTTTGTCTGAGAAAAGAAATTATTGCCGTAGGATAATACGCGTGTGTCTCTCTGTCTGTATGTGTGTGTGTGTGTGTGTGTGCGTGCGTGTGTTTGTAGGTTTCGGACGGGGCCTGAGACCATTTCTCGTTTTGTAGTTGTTGCTTTTTTTAATTTTCTTCTTTTTTTTCACTGGTGGGGTTTTAAATTACAGCTACGTGCAGATATCTTATTTCGGTATTTCGGGACTGAGGAGCAATTTGTGGGCGCACAAGCCTAAGCAACAGCGGATTCTTTATGCATTCACCTGGTGGAAGATCAAGTTTGGTGTTGCTGTCAGGTAGGAGACAGCAATTGGTACAGCACACAAACTGCAAGAACTGATCGTTTTGGGCTTGATGGATATGTAATTATGTGACGAGTCAGTTGTAGCCTAAGATGTTGATATACATATATGTATATATTAACGTGTATTACCCGGCCTTGCCCGTGGTAAGTTTGGTGCTAAAAGAAAGTGATATATTCACCCGCACGAAGGGCGCATTCGAGATTGATTTTAATCGCTGAAACACGTTTGCACTAAGTTTTTTTTGTAAATTTTTAAAAATGAGTTTGAGGTCGATCGATTGGTAAACAAAAAAGTTTTCGCCATTTTTCCACACATGCGGGTGGAATTCCGACTTCCGACTTAAGTTAACTACATCACCAATCATTCAGTCAGTGAGTCAGTCAGGACAAACAGTTTTGTGTATAGACATAAACTGGATTTCGTTTTCTTTTTTTTTAATTCACATTTATCTTAATATATAATAACTACGCACATAAATCAACACTGTTCATTGCCACTTTTTGTCAGGATACCGATAAGAAATCATATAGGAAACACATGCACTCACAACAAACCCGGGATAAGATCAGTTTCTCGTAGAAAACAAGCATTGAAATAGTCTTTCAACGAGCTTCCTCTATGATAAATTCCATTGCAATTTATAAAGGGTTGCTTGGCTCTGTTGATAATGATGAGCTCATCGAGTGCACAAAAGAACATTCTTATCATGATCAGCTAATCTTTACGGCCAGCGAAATGAATCAGCACAACAGACGAGGCTGATGATGTGGCCCTTTTGCGGCTCTGGTCCAGGGAGGGAACCCAGTTGATTGTCTATTACGAGGGTCAGATTAGCAAACCTTGCCGGGTTGCTGCATCTTCTGTCACAATTGATGACGTTTTTTTTGCAGCTCATTTAATGCGAAGACTTGCGGCTGTTGCGGGTAACCATATGGGCCCAGATCTTGGCCAGGTACACGCTTGTCTGCCGCTAGACCTATTGCAATAATTTCTGCCCAACTGTCACACGCAGTAAGACAATGGCCATCTAATTAGGTGAGCTAAGCCCGCGTACCCACCCTGCCCCGGGCTACCCATATAGCTATCCGTAGGACTGTATGGTGCGGTAGCTGGTGGCAAGACGTGTCTTTGTTGCGCTGTCTTCTGCCGCTTTCTTTTGGCTTCTGGCTGGGCTGACCCTTGGGGCCCAGTTGACCGACTTGTGTTAGCGCAGGCCAAGTGGCTTTAATTTAAGACCCTAATGAGCCATTTAGGCATTCTGCATTCTGGCTTTGTATTCAATGCCGACTACTGTGCTGAGCCCCACAAAAATTAATGAGTCCACGGCCAGTCGGCGACTGAAGCCGGACAAGCGGCAGAGGCCGAGCCAGTGGCAGAGGCAGAGTCACCGAGACTCCGTCTTTGCATGCGGGTGATGGCACTGATAAAGCCGCTTAATTTTTCACTGGCCACGGGGTCCAAGTCCAATACGAAGTCGATGCGCTGCTTTGCATAATGCAGCAGCACAACGAACAACAAATTTTCCATAGTTTATTCATTTTTTATATATTTATTTTAATCATTCCAATCCATTTGCGTTGGTCATTTACCTATTGGCTGCAGGCTTGTCAAGCGCTTCTGACATTCATAAATCGGCTTAAATTTGATCTTGAACAACGTATTTCATTCCTAAACCTACCATAGCTAAATTGATTGTGTGAATTGACCTTATAAAGCCAGATTGTGTATCCCTCGCTTGCATTCCACTCAAATTTGGTTGCCCCCTCAGGCCCAAAGGCCCCATTCGCCGTAATCGCAAGAATGCAGCTTTAATTATATGAATAAAGCTGCCGCCGACTTTTTCTAGAAATCGACAATTAATCACATCAAATTTAAATTAAGACTAAGAATATAAATATAACAAATTATAACATATATTGTAAACGCAAAAATTAAGCGATCATTTTGGAACTATATAGATTACAGAAGCCACTTAACCTGAGATGTCAGCTAAATAGCTGCATCTTCTCACCTCGTCCCAGACTTTTCTTCACACATTTATAGATTTTCTTATATAGATATTTTACTATTGCATTTAACCCAGCTGCACAGCTTGTTCCACTTAAGAGCTCAGCGTGAACTTCATTCCACTTAGCATATGTAAATTATTTATGACGGATACTTCCTCAAATTTATTGTTTGTTTCCTTCCAGCTCGAATTGAGTCGTCAGTTGTGCACTTTCGCACATGTGAAAATCTATTCTCGATTTCCGCATAATTACATGCTCTCAATGCATTTCACACACTCTAATTGAGTAATCAGCTGCAGCATCAGTCAGCCCAAAAGGGAAAATATTGAGGCTAGGAAAAACTAGATCTAGCATTGCCTTAACTCCTGCGGTGAACTGTGCGCCCTAAAGTCATACCTCGACGATGTCCTGCCAGGCGCTGGCGAATAGAAGCACTTGTTCCCTGAGCACGAAGATTCAGTATCGAAGTAGAGCTCTAGGCTGCAGACCAGGGGCTCATTTCTTTTTTTTTCTTTTTTTTTTTTTGGTATGAAGCTCAGCAAGACGCAACGGACGACCAACTGAGCTGTGACGCCGGGAGGGATCTGAGAAGGAATAACAATAATAATAATAACAACAACAACAACAACAGTCACATAGGCAGGTAATTGCTGCAGTCGGAACGCACTGATGTGAAACATTTGTCATATGGACCGAGACGTGCCGTGAGATGCCCTGGGAAAGTTGTCGTCAACGTCTTCAAAGTCGAGCTGCTGCTGCTGCTGCTGCTGGCAAGCCTTGCCTGAGCTCTAAACTGTGATATAGGTCATGCAACCCTCAAGGTTCCGCGTAGTACCCTGCCTCAAGCCCCCGTTGCCGCATGTTGCATGCCGCATGCCGCATGCCTCTGCATTGTCTTTGGCTTTTGTAACTGCTCTCTGAATTCGTAGAAATTACGCGTGAGCATGCAGCACTCGAGGCAGCGGCAAACCAGCTACAGAAAGTAGCCTAGCCCTGGTCCTGGTCCTGCCACTAGCCCTAGTCCTTATTATGTTTCTGCCTGATGATTCCCACTGTGTGTGTCTCCTCTGTGTCTGCTGTCTAACAAGTGCATTTTGAGTGCCGCTTTCATTGCATGCACAATTAAAAACGCAGTTGCACAAAACAAAACACAATCCAACTGGAGCCCTCTCTCTTCCTACACACAACTCCCCCGAACCAGCCAAGATCCGACGTCAACCCAACTGTCAACCCATTCAATGTCAATGAACCGCAGCTGTAATGACACACACAGATACACACACACACGTTTGCAGTCCACCTACCAAGAACGTTGTCGTTCGGATTGAATTTTTTCCTTATTTGTTTATGGTTTTGCCCGTCTCAGATAATCTTGGGGCGCGTTAGCTTCAAGTTCGTTGCGCTTGGCCAGGTTACTCGTGCCCGCGCCTAGGGCCCATACTCGTAAATATGTATCTGTATCTGTATATAGTACTTGTGATGTTATTTCATTTTATTGTCGTCTTCGACTTGGCTCTTGTCGTCGTCGTCGTCTGTCATAGTTTTCAACAATTTTGTTGGTTTATCGCTTCAAAGGTTCCTCAATACTCGTACAACAATTCATTGAACATTATTAGCACTCAAGCATAAATTTTTTCGACATTCTAGACCGCTAAGTGGCTTTATAAGTTTGTTGTTGTTGTTGTCAATTTTTTATTATAGGTGCAGCTAAGCTTTGCAGTCGCTCCTTTCCAGGGGGCATGGGCTACCATATGGGTACCTCGATTGGTTCGGCAATTCGTGTAATCGATTTGCGGCATAGGTGAAAATGTCGTAATGCAACATTAACTACTGCGTATATGGATTCGATTGGTCATACTTCAGATAGCGCAAGAGTTAACCTATCAAATTTCAACAGGGGGCTAATCGTAGAATAATACATAATAATATAATAATCTGATTTCATACAAAAATCCACGACAAAGTAGTTATCAAACTTGTTCTAGCTTAAAATATATAATTCTAATCAAAAATTTCATTTCTCAATAAATTTTGACTGATTATTCCTTTTGTTTTCACATTATATGACATTTATGTATAAGTAAAAGAAAGATAACATGCCTGATTAGCCTTAATATACATTGTTAATTCAATTTAAATACATAAGAACATATGGACTTACCCAAAAATTTACGTAGCTTACAAATAAGATGGGCAACAATTTATTCACATATCTAAAAGAAAAATAAAAGTATAGAGTAAGTTCTGAGAACAGCAAGAGAAATAAAAATATAATGAGATACACTATGAGAGAGGAAATTGTCGTAGGAGTTAGATCAGAGATGAAGTTGTTAAATTACCACCAAAACTGGTATAATGATCATAATAAAATTATTAAGTCTTTATGGGCTTACTTGAATTCATGGGAATCACATAGTAGGGTGGTATTTAAAAACAATTGTGTTTATATACTCAGCACAGTGAGAATTAAGCTGCAACTCATGAGAATCGCATAGTAGGGCGGTAGTAAAAATAATTGTATTCATATTCTAAGCGCAGCGAGAAGTAAACTGCGCTTTTTGCATACATACATACACAAATATACATACATACACACATTCATGCAAAATGTAGCTATCAATAATTTTCCGCCCATGGGATGGCATAG